GCATGCTCCAAAAAGACAAAGATTTTCTCATTTGTTCAATTTACCAAAATCTATTGCTCCTAATCTACCAAAATCTAACAAAAATTCACTTGTTCAATTTCCTCATTCATCAACTTGTTAAATTTTCCAAAAATTCATGATTTTCATAAAATCTACCAAAATCTACTACAATCTAACAAAAATCATTGCAAACACATACATGTTTTGTTGTAGAGGTGAAGACCGGCGGTGGAGATGGTCGGAAAAGCTGAATGGGCGGTGGTGGAGGAGAAAAAAAGTCGCGGTATTGGTTCCTCTATCCTATCCGCACTAGTACTAGCATAATTCCCCATTGAACCATCTTCACCATGCAAATACCATATCTTATACCCCGGCATAAATCCGTCTCTATAAAGGTGTTGTAATACAAAACGCCCAAATTTCTTTTTACAATTCCGACATTGAGAACAAGGGCACGACATTGTACCTTGATCTTCTATGGTTTGCGGTTGGTTTAATGCAAGATTCATAAATTGTTGAACTCCATCGACAAACTCATCCGTAAGTAAACCCGTCTCTGGATCATGAGAATGTCTATCCATCCACGCTCGAAAATATTGATCTCTGTTTGAAGGAGCCATTTTTAAGTTTTGTTCTTCCAATTTTCGTGAATGAAGGTGTGCTCTGTTTTAAAAAGCATTCTGAGAAATTTCCGACGGATTTCCCAACAAAATTCGGTCAGAAATTCAAAATTTAAAACGGTTAAAAATGGCTCCAATTTTTCCTACCGATTTCCGGCCGCGTGCATTTCCGACCGTTTTCCGACCGAATTTTTCAACGGATTTCCTACCGATTGATTTTTCCACGGATTTTCGACCGATCTTACAACCGTATTGCGATGGGAATTTTTCCGTCGGAAATTTCCAACCGATTTTGGACCGAAATTTTCCGTTCGAAAATCGGTCGGTAATTTCCGACCGATTGTTGTCCGTCGGAAACTCGGTCGGAAATAGGCCTGTTTTCTTGTAGTGATAACCAAACAAAACCGATCTTTTAACCAATTCAATCATCACCAACTCATTTGATTTAGATGCACAACACTTCCCAATTGTGAAGTTCCCACCATATGTCTCTCCGGTGGACATATCATCACAACAGCCTATAGCCTCTTACCTTTGCTTCTCAAAATTCTCTCTTCCATGATTTCACCGATACTGAATATTTCTCTCCCACCAATAATAGACCATGTCGTTATTCACAAACATATGAAATCAATAACATTCAATTTCACCTATAGGTCTAGTCTTGGTTCCTTGTCCTCCAAGTCAATGCACTAAAAATATCAGAACATAGATAGTAGATATTATAAGCCATAAGTCAAAGAAGAAGAAAATAAAATATGTGATTTAAATCTGTACGTAAAAAAAAAAAATTCATAGATCATGTTAACAACTAATTAGGTTATAAGACTTTTTCGGGTACCTTTTACATCTATGTGAAGACAATGGTACTGCTTCACTCCCTCGTTGTTTTCTCATTTCCATGAACATTCTGAATCTTCTTCTCCTCCTTCTTCCGCTTGGAGTTTACCGCACATAAACATGCACCCTTATCGTTCAAAAGCAAAACAAATGACAAATGAATTCATATCTAAATTTAAAACGAAACATAACAGAAGAAACACACAAAATTCAGAAAAAATAAAGTCTTGACTTTTCAGAATCAGATTCTTTGGTTAAGCATGTATACCTGGCAACACTGCGTGTTTCCGCCACAAGAAGCATAATGGAAAGTACTCGATCACCTTGCAATAATATAAAACCAACTAAGGAGTTAAGTCTTTCTCTTAAAGAATTTCTCTATCCATTATCATAGTTAATCTAATGGGGAATATCTAATGTGGTTCCGTCATCCACAGTAACTTACCAAATTATTTCTTCATCGAGTTTTCTCAGGTTGCTTAGATGAACTTTTCAACACTTTTTCCGACCAAACTTAAGAAACGTCTTTATAAAGATAGAACAATGCTGTATTGCACACGGAAAAAATTTGTCACCAAATCAGAGTCATCCTAATCCTCAAAGCCATTCTTTTCTCTTTATATCATCAAACTCTGTCTTCCAAATTTTATGACTAAGTCTCTGTTTTGCTTCAGAGATTAATTAAACAGATGCATTAACTTTACGATTTAGTCTTGGTAAATACTATCAATCATTGATGAAAACAATAATAGTTTTACATATTCTTCCTCTAAATCAGTACAACATCATTATTTGGATATTATTCTGAATAAATCAACAACAAATCAAAACTCTTTTCTTTCTACTATAAAGTATCTATCTTCTCTGTTTTGTTTTGTCTCTCAATTAGAACACAACACCAAATAAAAATGGCAAGAATCATAATTACACTAACTGCTTCTCTGTTTTATTTCTCTGTCTTCTCTCTGTTTTCTCACCAAACCATGTCTCAACGTCAACACTTGCAAAATTTTTGCAATCCTTCTGAAAACTTCACACAAATCAGCTCCTACGAAACAAACCGCGACACACTACTCGCCTCTCTCCGCGATAGTTCCTCTCTCGGAACCTATTCCAACGCCACAATCGGTCTTACTCCCGACTTTGTCTACGGCATTTTCCTCTGTAGAGGAGACACACTTGGAACAGCAATATCTTGCGCAGACTGTATCCAAACCGCAACGATCGAGATCGCTACAAACTGTAGTCTCAACAAAGCAGCGATTATATACTACCAAAAGTGTATGGTTCGATACTCCAGTTTTCCATTCTTCACACTCATGGAAACCTATACACGCATCGGTCTTACTCACAATAAGCCGGCTCCAAACTTGTATCGGTTCAATCAAACTCTGTTTGATAAATTCGACCAACTGATTCTCAACGTATCGTCGTCCTCTCCAATTCCATATTTCGTAGAGGATCAAGAACTTGTGACTCAACCAGAAGGTTCTTATGAGTTAGAGTCAATGGTTCAGTGTAGTCCTGATCTTGATCTATCAAACTGCACCGTTTGCCTCAGAGATGCGTTATTTAGAATTTCAATTTGTTGCAGTTCACCAAGTATAGCTCAGGTCTTTACTCCTAAATGTATTTTGTGGTATAAAACCACGGTTTCACCATCGCCATCCGTCTCCTCTATTTCTGCCGCCTCAACCGTCGCGGCCTCTTTCTTTATCGCAGCCACCGCAACCGAATATTCCTAGCATATGTTGAGCATATTTTTATTTTCTGTTATGCAAATAAAATGATAGACTATTATTAAAAAAAAAAAAATTAACCTTCTATGTAAAGAATCGTGAACCCAAACGACGGAAGAATCAACACAATATGCAAATTTACTAAACAAAATTCAAAAGAAATAGGAGTAAGATATTAAAAATCAATCAAATACCAACACGTGTTAAAAAAATAATAATTTAATGAACATGAATAAACAAATTATAAGAATACATAGGGATAAAATAAACCACATACAGGATACCATCACGAATTGGCAAAGTTATACGCTGAACCT